AGTTATTCATGCATCATTTGAAGTAGTTTTATACATGTGAATAATTTTCATTTCCTCATTATGTATTTTATTATGCCATTCTTATGGGCATGTATAAATATCTTCCATTATTATCACAATTATTATTGAACCTTGCTGTTCAAGGTTACAGAGTAATCCTGACATTGGTTTAAATGTTTATTTTCAACAATATTTTAACTTAGAAACTCTGTTACAGTCTGAACAGAAGTGGAAACAACTTGCTGAGCTGGCCATTAGTAAGTGTCAGTTTGGCCTCGCCCAGGAGTGCTTACACCACGCCCAGGATTATGGGGGTCTGCTGCTCTTGGCCACTGCCTCTGGAAATGCTAGTATGGTGAACAAGCTAGCAGAGGGCGCAGAGAGAGATGGCAAAAATAACGTGGCATTCATGAGCTACTTTTTACAGGGCAAGTAAGTATGACTCCAAGGACTAAAAGATGCTGATGAGTAATTAAAAGCAGTTATTTCTGCATCAATTGTGAGGGTGGTTTTTGAGAGGAATGTGGTGCACAAATTCTGGAGACCTGATGAATGGCTTGCTGTTGTTGACTAGTGGGGCAGTCAGAGACAGCAGTGGTGCTTGCCACTTGTTAGGGATGCTCCATTGCTTTTCATCTGTGTGTTCAAGTGTGAGCTGCGTGAGCTGTTTGGGAGAAGTGTTAAGTCAGAGCATTTTATTGAATGACAGCTGGAGGTTATTGTTCTGCTCCAGTTGGTACCTGAAGGGCAGGTGGCTTTATCCAAACTGGGTGATTTTGGTGCTTCTTGGCAAGGCAAGGGTAAAGGAAGATGAAGATGCCAGCTACTTCTAGATTTGTGCCCAACTTTTAAAATGTCATATGTTTTTAAGTCTAGCATAGTTAATGCAAGCCAAATCACTTAGACATTAATTGACCTTTTTGGAAATAAATGCAAAAGTGTTCGTTAATCCTGCCCTACATGCTAATTCTTTAAAAAAAAAAAAATCCTACACTTCATCATAAAAGTTTTTTTCTTGGTGAGAGCTGGTATTCTTTCCACTTCCTGTTCTGCTGTGTTCCATGAGCCTTAGGTGTAGAGGTTCCACTGAAGATGACTCATGTAGGGTTAGACATCTCTCAGACATATAATTTCTGTGTGTAACCAGTTGTGGAACTCTGTAATAGCCTCCATCTGTTAAAAAAAAAGCAGCTTCTTTGATGAGCGATGTATGGTACACTTGTCTATAAATACAAGGATCCCATATTTAGCATATGGTAAGAAATTTCACTTGTCTAGGGATATGACAGAGAGAGGGTTTTCTCTAAGATCTCTGACCTCACCAGCCCTGTATATTTGGCTATAATTACAGTGCCACCCTTGAGTTCCCTCACATTGAGAGGAATTTAAGTCCAGTTACCCCCACAAATAACAGTGCCACTACTGCACCAATAAAAATAGTTTGCTGTGCCAGTCATTGTGGTTATTAGGCTTTAGAGCTGGGTTGAACCATTGACTGATTTTCTTCCTTAGCAGCTTACATAGTGTCCTACAGAACTGTGAGAGCTAGTCCTCAGGGAGGAGGCTGCAAGGTCAGTTTCAGCTCCATTGCTCCAGAGTCCTGAGTCTGAAGTATGTCCTGTCTTCACCAGCGAAACTTCCTTATACAACGGTTTGATGCACACAGAAGGCCACAACTGGCTAAGTTTTAGAGAATAAGAGACTGCAGAGTGTGTGTTCCTGATAGGACTCCTATATTAAACCTCACTCATGGCTCAGGGACCACTGTGCAGAAGAGGGGTAGAAAGATTGTTAAGAGCCGGGGTTGTTCCATGAACATAGGGAAATAAGAGTTTTTCAGGCCACTAGAAGCTTGCTCACGTAAACTTGCAGCAGTGATGCTGGTGTGCATAAGACCCATGCTGACACAGTCAGACAAGGGCCCAGTGTGAAGCGAGGGAAATGGGTGGTGGCCCCTAGCCCTAGCCTGGGAACTGTTGGCAAGTGGTTACCGCTGGGTGAGGGAAAGCAGAACTTTAAGATCTCTGGATAGACTGATTTAGAGCCAGTGGATGAACTTGCACTGAAGGGCGTTTGGATGCAAATGCTTGACCAGCTAGTACTTAACACGTATGACAGAATGCATAAAATCGGGGGGTGGGCGGGAGTGTGTGTGTGAGACTAAATTTGATTAAGAACTATTGTATGAAATGCACAAAAACTCAATGAAAACTTTTTTTAAAGAAAGTTTTTTTGCTGGGCGTGGTAAGCATACGCCTTTAGTCCCAGCACTCAGGAGGCAGAGGCAGGCGGATCTCTGTGAGTTCAAGGACAGCTGGGGCTACAGCTCAAAAAGACCAAAAAATTTTTTTCTTGAGGTGCTGGGGAATTGGTTTGTGCACACTAGACGTATATTCCATTACTGAGCTACACTCCCAGGCCCATCATAAAACTCAGAATGCATGCCTCGCCTGTCATAACTCCCCTTGAAAAGCTACTTTAGTCTTATGAGCTATTGAAACAAAATAAGCTGAAAGTGGTCACAAAAGCTGTCTTATCTCACCTCCCTGAAATCCACTGACTGTTCAACATTAAGATAAATAAAGAGCTAGGCATGGTGGCACGCCTTTAATCCCTGGGGCGGGGGGCGGGGCAGAACAGGCAGATCTCTGGGATAGCGAGGTCTAGGCCAGCTGGGATTATAGGGAGATCCTGTCTCAAAAAGAATTAGTAAAGACTCAGCAACAGAAATGAAATGAATGCATAAGAACAAGGGTATGGAGGGGATTTTATAACTTTGCAACAGGAAGTCCACGCTTCAAGTGGTAAGTGCCATTACTGTTACTGTACAGTCACTGCCTCTTCCTTGACTCCTCAGGCTTGACGCATGCCTAGAGCTCTTGATCAGAACAGGAAGACTGCCAGAGGCTGCCTTCCTGGCCCGAACATACTTACCCAGCCAGGTTTCAAGGTATGGATTTAATATTAGGAAGAAATGTTTCAAATAAAAACAGGACACTTATTTAATCTGTTTGGTTCTGTGTCTCTAATAGGGTAGTGAAACTTTGGAGGGAGAATCTCTCAAAAGTCAACCAGAAAGCAGCAGAATCCCTTGCTGATCCAACAGAGTACGAAAACCTTTTCCCTGGGTTAAAGGAAGCCTTTGTTGTTGAAGAATGGGTGAAGGAGACACGTGCTGATCTGTGGCCAGCCAAGCAGTACCCTCTTGTCACGGTGAGTGGCAGTACCGGGCTTCTTGTAGTGTGACAGTGAGGAGGAAACAGAACTCTAGGTTTTGAACTGCAAATACATTATTAAGAGCTGCCATCTGGGATTTGGGCCAAATGTCTAGATCATTTATGATTTCACAGTATTTCACTTCATCATTGCTTTGTTCTAACAGCCAAATGAAGAGAGAAATGTTATGGAGGAGGCAGAAGGCTTCCAGCCCACAAAAATGTCAGCTCAGCAGGTTAGTGGAACACTCATGTTATGACAGTGTGGCTGAGAGCGTTGGTCAGAAAACCACCTGCTGCTTCCTGATCCTCGTCTTCCTTGGCTTGGGGGGAAAATTTAAATCCGTGGGCATGTTCCTTTGACTTCATACATACCTCTGCTTGGGTTTTCAGGAAACCGACGAGAAACCTGCTTCTCCCACTCCAGTTATGGCCTCCCAAACTGCCCACAAAGAAGAAAAGGTAGGTCCGACATCCTCTACCCCTCATGTTCCAGGAAATGTGTCAGGAGCACAGGCCTCTGAGGTGTAAATGCCATCAGTGTCCCAGTTCAGAGCAGAGGCTTTGAAGTGAGACCATGCCCCTTGACAATTGAGGAAATTGGAGTTCTGGCTTTGGATTGTACACCAGATAACTTCCTAACATGGTATGTGTGACATCACCATCTTCCTTTCCTTTCCAGAGCTTACTAGAACTAGACGTTGATTTGGATAATTTGGAATTAGAAGATATTGATACAACAGACATCAATCTGGATGAAGATATTCTGGATGACTGAACGTAGTTTGCCATGTACTAGAGTAAACAGATCATTATGATGTATAGGAGTTGATCACCACCCTGACCACAGTGCCAGTGCTTGAACTCTGGAAATTTTTGATTTGTACATGTAAACACTGTGGACCAAGGAGAGCACAATGACTTCCTCACCTTCAGAGTTGATGGGCAGCTTTAATCACTGTGTTAACTGAGAGACATGGGCTTTTTTTTTTTTCATACTGTCATCATTACCATATCTCATAAAGTCTTTTAAATTAATGAAAAAATGAGTTTTATTTCTGAGTAATGGAGACAGACTTCTAGTTTTAAAAGGCTGAGCGAAAACACCTCACCCAGGACCAGCCTCATTCTCCTTTGAATAAGTGTGTTTTTCAAATACCTATTGCACTGTTTTAGAACTGGGTATCAATGTTGTAATTACCTAAACCTCGTTCTGATCTTACTGTCATCATGTTCAGTCTACATAGTGTGGCTGGCAGAGATCCACATCTGATTTCTGTCCAGCTGGGCTGTCTACACTACCTGCTAGTCTCTGATAGCACGGAGAAGCAAGGGGGAAAGGACTCTTGTGGTTAACTGCTCTAACGTGAGTAGATTCATAATCAGATACTCAATCAGTTATCCCTCTGTAACCTAGAAACCGAGTAGGGCAACAAGTTTTTCTTTGTATGGGTTAGACACACCTTCTATAATTGAAAATAGAAGAAATTAGAGAAAGCACCTTTGAACTCTGACATTTTAAAACACTTAGTACTAATAAAAAGGGAGACAAGGTTTTACAAAATGAAATGTGTTTTTAATTAATGTTTTGGGAAGCTGCTGAATGGCTAGTGAATGCTTCTTGGTAAGTCTGCAGAGCCAGCTCTATATACCCTCCTCTCTGTGCTTCTGTTTTTGCGAAGACCTGTTTAAATGGAAAAAAAAAAAAAAAAGTTTTAAAGTAACAGGATATATAGTATTTATAAAGTCAGTTTAAAGATGTTATTAACATTTCTTCAGTAGAAAACTAGATTCCCAATCAAGGTCTTCTAAGTTTCAGAATAATTTTCCCCCTAAATATAAAGTAACAGAAACATGGACAGAAAAACACTGTCAACAGTTAAAGCAATACTAACTCTAACCACAGAATGGCTTTCATCCATGCGGTCCTTTTTAGGTAAAGGTTAAGACCCTGACATTGCATCTCCTGCTAGATCAAAATGAAACCAGTAGGTTCCATAGAAATCTAGGCAGTGAGAGGAGCAGCAAGCTTATTTCTCATCAGAATGTTGCTCCCTCTGGTTTATCACCGAAAATCAAG